GAGCAACTGCTTTAATCCATACCATGTGCAACGAGTACAGGCCTTCCAATAAATAAATAAATCATCAAGCACGTTTGGTTTTTTGCCGCTGGTTTCAACGTCATGATGCTGAAAACCCTCGTTTTCTTGCAAACATTCTTTTTACTGATGAGGCCGGGTTCACAAGAAATGGAGTGTTTAATTTTCACAATACGCATATTTGGGCCGACGAAAATCCTCATGCTCTAATAGAATCTGGACATCAGGCACGTTTTTCATTAAACATTTGGATGGGTATTGTAGGTGACAGGTTTCTAGGTCCTGTTGTTTTACCAAACCGATTAATAGGCGCTGCTTACCTCAACTTTCTGCAGAACACACTGTATGAGTTTTTGGAAGACATTCCTTTGAATCAGAGGCAACAAATGTGGTTCCAGCATGATGATGCTCCAGCTCATTTTTCCATGGCCATTAGAGAGCATGTACACCAAACTTTTCCACATAGATGGGTAGGAAGGGCCGGACCTGTGTTATGGCCTCCAAGATAGCCTGATCTGAACCCTCTAGATTTCTTTGTTTGGAGATATTTGAAGACATGGTATGGTAGGCCTGCTCTGATATTAATCGATTGTTGTCGACCAGAAAACCCAAGGTAATTTGGACAATAAATATGATTTTTATAGTTGGTATGATTTACAAAGTTAAACTTGGATAGTATTTACTTGTGACACAAAATTCAGTACTTAAATTTAGCCATGTGCACTGAAGAGATTTATGTTAAACAAAACGTGGCTTTAATAGCGATGTGATATATTTTTCATTAAAATCATTGTTTCAATAACGTAATCTCCCGAATTTGATGATACATTTATATTTAAAACGAATCAAACCATATTTTTATTACTGTTACTAATAACAAATGTAATTTCCTTCAGCATTACTTTGGGTTCGGTAATACCAAAGCCGAGCGCAGGAAGAAGGCGAATATACTTAATATTTTTATGTACTTTCCATAAATGGAATTGGAAATGTAATTTCATCTTTCCTCTTTATTGAAAAGTTACGATCGGCGGAATTGGATTTTGTCAATCTTACATTCTTATTGCACGCTTCCCGAATAGGTCGGCTCAACTAACTAATGCTCATATTTTTAAGCTCATTCTAGAGAATCCGCTACCGCCAAAACGTTGTTTGTGCTCCGTATGCTTTTATTCTCAATGTGGGACGTGAGAATTTTATTTACTAGTCCGTATGTGGGGAATTATAGTTACTCGTATTTTATAAGAAAACTTTGTGTAGAATAGATAAAAAGGCTCGTTTATATTAATAAATTCATTTGAAATAATATACAGGTCAACCAAATCCTTTGAGTCCTGAGGGTAGAATGCGCAATGGCAAAGAAGTCAAGGTCACTAGAGAATAAGGTTAATAATAATAATAATAATAATAATAATAATAATAATAATAATAATAATAATACACACCACAGGTAAACAATTAAATATTTTAGGCCCTACAAAGTTTGGAGAACGAGTAGTTAAATTTATTCGTGCAAATGGTACATGAAAATTATGTTTTTGTCTGGTATTAACATTGTGATACCCGTTATTTATCAAAAATTTGCTTCTGTGTTGTGAATATGTATACACATATTTCAAAAATATAAATGCCTACAACGTGAGAATTCTATATTGTTTAAATATATTTCTACAAGAATGACTACTTGAAACACCAAACATACATCTTAAAATACGTTTCTGCGCAATAAAAACATGGGACGAGATAGTTGAATTACCCCAGAAACAAACACCATTTCTCAATTGGGATTCAACTTGGGCATAGTATAAACAAAGGAGTTGATCGGTACTTAGGACTGTTCTAATATTTCGAAATAAATAAGTTATTGAAGACAATTTTGATATTATCAAATACATGATACATTTCCAGTTAAGGTTTGTGTCCAAATTTAGACCTAAAAATTTTACTGTCACCGAATCAGTAGGTAGAGAACTACTATTAATATTCAAATTTAATGTTTCACAATTTCTATTTTGAGTAGTACAAAATCGAAGTGCTTGAGTTTTTTCAATATTAAAGTGTAATGAATTTTGGGCAAACCAGTTACTTAAGTTGTTCAATAAAATATCACATTCAAGTTTTAAGATTCGATTTGACTTATTAGATATTACCAAAGACGTATCATCAACGTACATGGTAAAATGAGTATTAGATGAGAGAGTATCGATATCATTTGTATATAGTAAAAATAACACAAGGCCTGAAACGGATCCCTGTGGTACACCCAACGTTGCCAAAGAGCATTCTGAGTTATATTTACCACAAACATTTTGATTATTATAATTTATGCTTACAAATTGCTTCCTATTTTCAACAGAAGTAATGATCTAATTTAGTGCGGGGTCCTCGAATACCGTAGTTATTTTAGATATTAAAATTTCATGATTAACACAATCGAATGCCCTGCTGAGATCTAAAAAGATCCCAACAGGGCACTGGCCGTTTTCCAAAAAGTTTAAAATTTTCTCATATAATGAGTGTACAGCTGTAGTTGTAGATTTGTCTGTACGAAATCCATGCTAATAATTGTCGGTGAGAATACGGAATTTTTTGATAAAAGTAAATATTCGCTCAAGAAAGCAATATTCAAATATTTTAGAAAATCCCTGAGGCACAGGGATCTATAGTTATCCAAAGACATCGGATTATTCTTTTTGAAAACTGGAACAATTTTTCCTAGTTTTAGAATTTCTGGAAATGCACCCGTTTCAAATAATAAATTTACAAGATTTTTAAGGGGAGAAATAATAAATCGAGTGACTCTCTTAATAAGAAACATGGGAATGTCATCAGCTCCTGACAAATTCTTACTTTTTAACTTATCTGCCAATAAGAGCAACAATCTGTCTGTTGCAAAGGGAGTTAAAAATAAGGAGTTTATTTGTGATGCCGATTTGCCCATGGAAGGTAAATTACTGACTGTTTGTATCTGATTAACTATACTTAAAGAAATTTAACAAAATAATCGTTAAATAAAGATGCTACAGTATGAGGATTCTCATGTAAAATACCGTCTTTGTTGATTAAAATATATTATTATTTTTGGTTTCCTACAAACTACTGATTCCCTTCACGCCACTTCCGCCACGAAATAATGAGTGACGTCATTGGTATTATAAATCGAATAGCGTCAACGTCAGTCATTATTATTGATAGCTAATAAATTTACTATATTTATATTTCCTGGGTCATAGGAGTTATTGTTCTTCGGTTTTTTATTGTTGGATTGATCTTTAGATCCTATCAAATACTTTTATCTAAAACTATGTCGGGTTATAATTCTGTAAGTACAATTTGTAATACAGATACTTGTAAAGTGTGAAAAAAAAACTGGTAAATCCATTAGTATCCACAGGATTTCAAAAGGTCCTCAGTTAAGAAAGAGAGCATTGGAAGGTGCTATTGAAAATATGTTTTTACTCCTGGCAACAAAAGCAATTTGCAGTAAGCATTTTTATAAAAAGATGTCGAAAATGTATGCTGTGCGAGGATAATGAACTAGTTGCAAGTGAATTAAAATCAACAGGTATAACATTTTTGTTATGATCTATACAGGGTTTTAAATTTATTCAAATATCGTTTAAAAGTAACACAAAAATTAAACGAATAAACGAATTACTTACCAATAGACGATATGTTCTACAAAATTTACTCAAAGTTGTTTCTATGTGCTAATAAACACGCTTCCAAACAACGGCCAAAATTAGTCCGCATACGTGCAAATATTCCCGGCATTTGTAGAATTTAATTAGCTGCAACAAAAATACGCTGTTGAAGATCTGCAGCATCGACAATAGGCGTTCGGCTATTCTCCTCCTAGACTCCAAACAAAAAAGTCCACAGGGTTCATATCCGGACTTCGTGCTGGCCAACGTACAGGACCATTTTGTTGTATCCACCTTTCCGGTATGTAAAAATAAATAAAAATAAAAAATGTATGCCGTCTCAGATTTGCTTGATTGTAAAATTCACGTGGAACATCAGCCAATTAGAGATGCGCTTCACGCATGTAGCGAGTCCGAAGCATTCTGGTCGTGCACGTGCACAAGATGCTCAGGGTTGGCTTGCATTTATGGATAATTTTCTTAATTAATTTTCTCAAAAACAGAATTAATAAAAGTTGCTCAATTTCATGCCCTCGCCCTGTATACACTTATTAAACCAGGGCAACGAAGAGCAGAATTATTAACAGTGGCTTCATGAATAAAATTCAATAATAGTCGTTATCTTTTATTCAATTAAATTAATTCAAAATACAGACTAGTTAAAATATTACAAACGTTATTAATATTTAATAGGTAATTTCGTCCCACATCTTGCATACCATAACTGACAACCAAATCATGTGGTTAAGGGTGACAGCAGATAATGCTGTCAGAAGGATTTTAGATACACTAATTTTTATTAACCTCAACCTGGTAACTATGATAATGTATGTTGTAATCACTTAAATAATGTTTCGATACTAGAAAATTTAAACGGGTCTAATGCTTAACAATACGGATTTTTCATTTTATGGTATACAAAATATATTTACAAATCGTTATTGCTATTCTTATTCAAATAATCCGTAAGATGTAAATATAAAGGACTGTCATTTTTGCTAATTTTGAAACAAAAGGGAAGAAATAACTAATTTGACGTGTTTTGTAATATTATTGCCAAATTTTGGTAACAGATCCAACAGCAAACTTATAATTATTGACTTCTTGTCATGAAAACCATAGAGTGGATATTGGATATTGCAAACAAAGGCTGAATTTATGATGAACAATCGTGTATAAATTAGATATCAAAGACCTTTTGTAAATGGTTGAAGTATTTCACAATAGACCTTACCTGAAGCCAATAGAAATATCTTCACCGTCAGCAATTAATTGACAATTATTTATATTCACCTTTTATTACTGTGAGTCATACAATACTTCTGCAGAATTTTTTTGATTCATTCAAAATTATAGAATAAAATCATTTGATGTAGAGATGTATGATGGCACTAGAAGAATAAGCAATTATAACAAGAAGAAAAGAAATCCAAGAATACAAATTTTGATAAAATCTTTCCTACTTAGATATGTTGCCTTGCATTATGTGTTTAAGTTGTCTTTTAAATGGTGTAAGATCAACTTAGGTCGATTTTTGAAGGAAGGTAATGACGTCGTGATCTTGCTAACCTTTTTTTTGCCACCGTGTATGTCAACCTTTCTGCAGAAGCGTCTGAGACTCAGACCTAACAGTGATGTCAAACTAACAGGAATGTGCAAGGTGGCAACGTGTTATAAGGTAATAAATAACTAACGAAGCTTAGATAGAGTCGTAAAAGGACGCGTCCAAGTAGAGAAACTTAAAATATACAGCTGGATTTGAAGCATTTGACACCACTATGCATCTCGTTAAATTAATGGCCTTTTAGTTAATGTAAGCTGGCATTATTTTATTATAGTTTTATTAGTTTCTATTTGCAGTAGGTCGTCTTTTTGGCTTTACATAAATTTCGTGCTATTTACATCTTCACTGCCTTCAACAGCACCAAATTTAGGCAAGTAGAGGAGAGTTGGTATTACATAATCGGTGATTTCCTAAATATCAGTGATGCAAATTTTATTCGGAGCAAATATCCTTTAGGTTACGTCAGAATTTGTAATTCAATATGTAAGAGAAATATTTGCTCTGAAGTTTGATACAAGGATATCAAGGAATAATTAACTTCGATATTTTTGTTGGAATACTGCCTGGAGCATACCAAAAATTCACCAATCCATGCAATACCCGGTTGAGGAAGAATTTACAGAAAGGGATTGTGCAGAACCACCTAAAGAATTATATGACATCGACTTTTTGTAATGTATCGTAAATCTTATTATCACAGACGTATTTACAGTATTATTCGTAGTATAAAATTAAAAAATTTTGAGCCTGCACACAATGTAGCCTAACTATTTACAAAAATAAATTGATTACAGTTAACAGAACCGTAAATCCTACAATACATGTTGTCGAGGAACTCTCGGCGGCAAAGATTGACGTGTATTGTTTCTCTTCGGTCAGTTCGAGAACCTCCTTTGGGCGGTCAGTCCTATAGAACGTTTTATCTGCAAATAAAATGAAATACATCTAAATTCAATAGAAATAATAGAAACAGGCATTCAATTATTACACAGCCACACACAAAAAAAGAAAAGTAGTCTGTACTTTTCATGCGACATATGTTATCTGCAGTATTTTTACCTCCTGATCACGAATCCGGTGTTAGAATTGAGCTATCACATCACAACAATTTCCTAACCTCAAAAAACAGGTCAAAAATAGCAAAAATTCATGAAAAATTACTAGGAAACATACACAATTATTTTTTCTATATTCAAATGTTTATTTATATAGTTAAGACGTCGCCCAATGTGAATCCGGGGTCAGCATTAATGGTTCTTTTTCTAACCTCAAAAAAACGGGTCAATTAAAATCAGGTATCACGAATGTTCATACAATAACAGATTCGCGCCAAATTTGGTACACGAGGGTTTTTTGAGTCGCTGATTACGGATCTGAGGTCAATTTTGCAAAATTCAAGATGGCGGATCCAAGATGGCCGATCAAATTTTCAAAAAATAACAGAATCGCAGCAAATTTGGTATACGGGGGTATTCGAGGTCGTTGACTACGGATCCGAGATCAATTTTGCAAAATTCAAAATGGCGGATCCAAAATGGCCGACCAAATTTTCAAATAATAACAAAATCGCAGCAAATTTGGTATACGGGGCTTTTAGGGGTCGCTGATTACGTATTCGAGGTCAGAATTGCGAAACTCATTTTGTAATATTTTACTTTATAACCTGAGTACCCTATCATGTGTTAATCTACTTTTTTTCGGCTATATCTTGTTATTTTTTTTGTAAAAGATCTATTCACGGGTTGAATTTTGCAAATCTGATCTCGGATTTGTGATCACTGACCTCGAAAACCCTCGTAGACCAAATTTGGCGCGAATGTGTTAGTTTTTTAAAATTTTGTAGGCCGCCATCTTAAATTTTGCAAAATTGACCTCGAATTCGTGATCAGCGACCCCGAAACCCCCCTTATACCAAATTTGATGCGAATCTGTTATTTTTTGAAAATTTGGTCGGCCATCTTGGATCCGCCATCTTGAATTTTGCAAAATTGACCTCGGATCCGTGATCAGCGACCACGAAAACCCCCGTATACCAAATTTGGCGCGAATTTGTTATTTTTTGAAAATTCGTGATCTCTGACCTTAATTGACCCGTTTTTGAAATCGTGATCAGAAGGCAAAAATACTACTGATAACATATGTCGCATGAAAAGTACTACTAAGTACTACTTTTTTTTGTGTAACTGTGTTATTATTACACTGTAAAAAAAATCGGTTTGAGTGAAAGCAATAAAGGTTCGAAGTGAATCTATTGAGTGAAATAGTACATTTTCACACAATATTGGGCACTTTAATCATTTTACTCATTTGTGATTACATTTAAGTTAAAACTGAGTATTTTCACTCAAATATAGGTACTCCTTGAATAAATTCTTCATGTAAGCAGTAACTTGTATTTGAGTAGAACTCATTCATTTCTGGTGGAATAGTTTCACTAAATTGTACTCATACTAATATAGTGAAAATTTGACTCAATCGGGTGTGGACAGAAATTAATACATTATAGAGTAAAATTAAGTGAAATTTAAGAGAAATTTTTTGTTGTTGGTACCCGTTAAATAACTTCTCCAGATAAACTCATATTTGGTACACTTGTCCTAAATCGGAGTAAATGTCCTCGTTATTGAGTGACCCCATCCCAATATATGGTTGTTGTGCGTTGTCTTTGTATATTATCGTCGTCCCCATTAGGTGGTGTACTCGTATGGCGTGTAGTGCTGGATGTTTATCCGGTTATTTTGGTGACAATTGTGTGCAGTGGTTTGATTATAATAATAAAAAACAATAATATATTGAGTCTCGATTAACATTTGGTTAAATAAACGGATAGTTAAATTCTTACCTATACTTACTTACGTATCTGTAACGTACAGTATAGGTTAGGGTAATCTATTCTTCCGATCAGTTAATCAATTCATTTAACCGGGTCCTAAAATATATAATAATTTAAAGAGAATACAGGAAAAAATTAGGCAATAATAGTTCAATTTAGAGAAAAAGTCAACTCTTAATTGATTTTAAATACTCAGAATACAGTTAGTCACTTGATTGTTAGCAGAAACTCGGATGTGAGTAAAATTCACTCACTTCCTATGCAATAGTTTCACTCATAAAATTTTAGTTGTCCTCATACTAATAAGAGTGGAAATTTCATTCATTCGGGCGAGGACAGAAATTGATACATTATTGAGTCAAAATGTGTGAAATTGAGTGAATTGTTTTTACAGTGTAAGTAACATTTAAAACTGACATTATGGAAACAGTCAAAAACGTCGTGCATCTCTCTCACCTTTAAGATCGGTCATCTGGTTTCCAACTATCAACTTATTGTCGTAAATTTTTTCCTCCTCCTTGAATACTTCTTCAGTGCCGTCAGCGCCAACTTTGATGAAAGACGTGATTGTTATTTCGAATATCCTGTTGGGATCCGCAGGGAGAGTGGGGATGGAACGCCTTCGTCGTCCGTATCCGATTTGTCCGTCGCTGCACTCCACCTGCAATTTTTTTTTGTTTATAAACTCATCATCGATATTTCTACGACAAGAAATCTTAGATTTTAAGCCTTCTGGCTTAAGAAAAATTACACAGGGTTGTCAAAATATAGAAGTATAGTGTTAAACATGTTTACTCTTTAATAAATTAATATTAAAACAAATACAGGGTGTTTCTGAATAAGTGCATTCCTTGAAAAGGAACTAAATGCTTCTGTTTTCGAGAAAATTAATTAAGAAAATTAACCATAAATGTAATCCGACCCTGTGCATCTTGTGCACGTGCGTTGTGTGTTGCAGTATTACTTAGTCGGCGTATAAAATGTTTTCTGATCAAGAACAAGCAGATATAGCGTTAATGTACAATTTGTATGTAGTATGTAAGTCGGGAGCCATTCCAGAGGTTCTCAATAAGTTTTAACTGTGTTTTGATTATATTAATTTTTAGTACTGTTTTGCAGTTCCATCAGTTATGATTATTGAAAATATGTATTATTAATGCATTCTCAGTATTAAAAACCGCCTTAAATAAGTTTTTAAACGCTCTGTTGAACAAAATTCAAATTTGTTGGTAAATCTTTCTGAATAATACGGTTCTATGAATTTAAATATTTACAATATAGTATTATTGAAACAAATATCACGCAATTAAAAAAAAAATCCGTATCTCTTGTTTTTACAGATACCTACAGCAGTTGTAAAGTTATGTTTTGTGTATAAATGCGGTTAACTTGATTTTTTTCATTTACTTATCAAGGACTTCCTATTTATTCATGGTTCAGCAATCAAATTATATCAGGTTATTTGCGTTCCTATTTATAAAGTAAATAAATCATCCGTATAGTGCTACAAATATAAAAAAATTGAAAATCTTTTCAGCTGACGTAACTTGGCATCATTATATGTATGTTGGTCTCGGCCAATACATGTTTATTTCTAGATTTATATCATAACATCAGGATGTTGTTTTTGGATTACACAGGGCCACAAAATAAAATTGAAACTTACCTTCTCTCAAACCAGTTGACCTTTATGTTTTTGAGGTCGCTGATCACGATCCCGGAATTCGTATAACCCCAGCACGTCTGGATCAAGGTTAAATGAAAGTCAAATTTCGCTTTTTGAATGATATAACTTTTTTGATCTCGAAATCCGAAACAACGAGAAATTTTACATCCAAATATGCGTAGACCTATTCGTGAAAGTCACTTCTGGAGATTGTCTGGAGGTCATCAGGATTATCAGGTTGAATCTGAGATTTGAATCTACCGGCTGAAATTTCTGCTTCGAAACGAGACGTCGGATCTCGGGCCAGTTGACCTGCGTTTTTTGGGATGCTGATCACGAATCCAATGTCCACGTGACCCCAGCACGTCTAGATCAAGGTCAAATAAACGTCAAATTCCGTTTTTCAAATGATATAACTTCTTTGATCTGGAATGCGAAACAGCGAGAAATTTTACGTCCAAATACGTGTTGACCTGTTAGTAAAAGTGACCTCTGGTGGCCATTTGAAGGTCAACCACAATTTATACGGTTATACGGATACCGGTATCGTGATCAGTGATCTCAAAAACATAGATCTCAACTGGTCGGATAGAAGGTAAGTCTCAATTTCGTTTTGTGGTCCTGTTATTATAGAAAAAAAAATTGAAATTGAAGGAAAAAATATCACATTTATTGAAATGAAAATGAAAATAAAATATTATAAAGAAACCGTATTGCAGCTGCTTTTTATACCAGCGTGTTTATAATTGAGTTATCTTATTAGTGTAGTACTTTATATACAGGGTGTTTGGAAAAGTTGGTACAAAATTTAAGGAGGTGAAAGTAGAGCCAAAAGTAGTAAAAAAAGTTCCTTCCCATAGACATTGGTCCTCCGGAGCACCGTTACCGAGATATGACCCTCCAAAGGAGTCTTATCATCTGGATATTTTTTAAAATAACTTTCTTTTTTATTAAAATAATGGAATGAAAATTGTAGGTAATAATCATACCATAAGGGTCTTTAACTATCATAAATTTCATCAAAATCGGTTATAAATAAGGATAGGTTTCTAACTTTTAACAGAACCTTAACAGAAATTTTTCGAATATTTTTTATTCCTTTGAATTATGAATCAAATCATATTATTTTTTAATGAATTAGACTTTTTTGAAGAAAAAGTGTCCCTACTTTTTTTTAATTCTGCGTAATTCAGTCAGAAATAATTATTTTTTAAATAATGTATGGCTCAGAACAGTAACTTATTTTAAACAGTTTCACATAGTAGGTAGGACTTTTCATGGTGACAGTTTCGTTGTAATAATACTAATGATTGTCACTTTCGCGTTCTATCATTTAAATTCTTACGTTTCTTCGTTGTAATCTTTGTGCTTGACTGTGCACTTGATTCGATTTTTTTTACAATCATGAACCATCATGCTTTTACTAACCGTGAATATGCCGATTGCCGGTATGCATTTTATTTATGGTTTCTGTAATGGAAATAGTCTGGCGGCTCAAAAGGAGTATGGGCAACGTTTCTCTGATAGAAGGCAACCTTCTGCAAAATTGTTTGAAAAAATTCATGCAAGAACGATGGAATCAGGAGCCCTAACTCCAAGATATCATGAATTTGGTCGTCCAAGGAGGCATATACATGATTTAGACGAAGTAATTTTAGGATTTTTTAACGTAATCCTACAGCAAGTGTAAGAAGAGCAGCTGCTCATGATGGTTCATGATTGTAAAAAAATCGAGTGAAATGCAAAGTCAAGAACAAAAATCACAACTAATATATTATTTAAAAAATAATTATTTCTGACTAAACTACGCAGAATTCGAAAAAAAAGTAGGGACATTTTTTCTTCGTTAAAAAATAATATTATCACCATAATTCAAAGGAATAAAAAATATTCGAAAAATTTTTATTAACGGTAGTTAGAAAACTATCCTTATCATAACCGATTTTGATAAAACTTATGATAGTTAAAGACCCTTATGGTATGATTATTGCCTACAATTTTCATTCCATTATTATAATCAGAAAGAAAGTTACTTTAAAAAATATCCAAATAATAAGACTCCTTTGGAGGGCCATATCTCCGTAACGGTGCTCCGGAGGAACAATGTTTATAGGAACTTTTTTCACTACTTTTGGCTCTACTTTCACCTCCTTAAATTTTGTAACAACTGTCCAAACACCTTATGGGTGAGTCAGTTTTTTGTAGACAAACTTTAACAGGAGATAGAACACATGTATTTAAAAAGAAAAGTTCCTATAAACACATGTCACAAGGCTTCGTTTCCGAGATACGGGGTGTTGAATATAATTTTTTTCTCTCGAATATTCATTATAACTTATAAACAAATGCTTAGATTTTTTTCATGTTTGGTAGATAATGCCTATTAATTAAGGGGCATAAAACAAGCGATAAAAATGTTCAAAAACTTGCACAGTGGCAGAGTGGAGGGGGGGCTCAACCCCTTTCTTAAACAGAACTTCTACGCCAATGACTATTTTTTAAAAAAACTGTTATTTTTATTATCTACATATAGTTTAACAAAAATAATGTCCATTCTTCTGTGCATTTCCGAGTTATTTTGATTTTTATTGTTTGATGTGGTACGAAATTGATTTATTTATTATCAATTATTGGCTAAATATTTAATTCTTTTAACGAAACCTACCGAAATATGGTTTGTTAAGAATTCTAAAAGCCAAAATCTCTTAATCTTTATCTCTTTCCAATGTAGTCAAAATAAATGTTTGTTATATCAAGCCATACTCAAACACAAGACTTTTATAAGTGGAAATCTATTTCGTACACTAATTTTAAAAATCTTTATTTATTATGTGCTGCGGAAATACTAATGTACTGCAACTAAATTACAAAAAAAAACATGAATGAACATTGATGTTAATGTTTATGGAGAAATTTTTTGAATTTATAACAATATTTAATTAACAACTTCTTAAAACTTTTTGGCAACTGCACAATAATGTATTGTATGTATGTAATGTAACAGATTTCAACTTATAAAAGTCTTGTATTTGAGTATAGCTTGATATAAAAATATTTATTTTGACTACATTGGAAAGAGATAAAGAATAAGAGATTTCGGCTTTTTAAAATCCCTAACAAACCATATTTAGGTAGGTTTCGTTGAAAGAATGAAATATTTAGCCGATAATTGATAATAAATAAATTACTTAATTTAGTACCACAACAAACACTAAAAATCAAAATAACTCGGAAACGCACAGGAATTTCGAAACAGAAGAAGGGACATTATTTTTGTTAAACTGTATGTAGATAATGAAAATAACAGTTTTTTTAAAAAATAGTCATTGGCGTAGAAGTTCTGTTTAAGAAAGAGGTTGAGCACCCCCTCCACTGTGCAAGTTTTTGAACATTTGTATCGCTTGTTTTATGCCCCTTAATTAATAGGCATTATCCCCCAAACATGAAAAAAATCTAAGCATTCGTTTATAAGTTATAAAGAATATTTGAGAAAAAAAAATTATATTCAACACCCCGTATCTTCTAGCCGAAGCCTTCTACGACATATGTTTATAGGAACTTTTTTTACTACTTTTGGCTCTACTTTCACCTTCTAAAATTTTGTAAAAACTTTTCCTAACACCCTGTATATATTTACCTTATACATATTTTAATATTCTGAAAATAGCGAGGGAAATTTCAAGGCACGCGGTAAATTGTTACAATAGTTACGATAACGGAACTTTATTGGCTTATTATTTAGCATACGTTCCAATTCAGTGAATTTTCGCCTTTAATTAGATGCCCAAACTATTAGCCTTAAGTTATATGTTATATCTCGCTTTTTGCTTTAAAATGATTCAAAGAAGAATCTCGCAGTTATGACATGTTTTTAAAAAATAAACACCCTGTACATAGTTAACAAATGACGTTGAAAGTAAAATACGACGGTAGCCCTGCAAAATTATGTCCCCAACGCTATAACTCAATTCAGTCTTGTTTACGGTCCAAACCATGATGAAGAGGACAAATTGAATTCAAGCAAGGCTTTCACATCTATCGAGAGAAAGGCGTTAATCCAGAATATTTCAATAAACCTTTAGCACTCCGGCATAACCGAAATATCACGGAAAATAAAGCTCAAACGCGGACCCTGGCGCAAACTTCCCATTTAAATATTAAAGGACTAACGCGCGATCAAAAGGGCGCCAGGTGATAAAAGCTTCGAGGTGCAATTTTCCGAGAGGTTCGACCTCTAACTATGTATTTGCTAACGAAAAGCTCACCCCTTTGCATTTGTCCAGGCACACATTCACGGTCCCTTTGAACTGGACGTACGTGGACTCGGGAAATTTGAATGCGCGGAATTTCGCTGCCAAAAAGTCTCCGTCCACCGTGTTGAAATTCTCGAACAGGTAGGGGTCCACAGAGCACCTGAAAAGAAAACATTAATAATAATGCAATGTGACTGTGGTGAAGCTTTTTACAGTGAGATACAGAGTTGTGTAGAATTCCAAATCATCAACATACAGCAAAAAGTGAACATTAAAATTATTCGCGATATCATTGATAAAAATATTAAAAAACAGCGGCCTAAATATTGAACCTTGAGGCAAGCCTGATCTTTAATTGACTACATCAGATTTGTAACCATGGTACTCTGTACGTATTTCCGAAACTATAAAAAAGATTTACTGATACCAAAATATTCAAGCTTGCATAATAGTATACCGTGATCCTTTGAACAAATCTGTGTAGATCACTTCCACCTGACCTTTTTGATTCAAAGGTTTAGCAATTAATAAAAAATATTTAATACAACGAATTATTTCAATTTTCTGAATTCTGCCATATAACCCTAGTCGTTTTTTATGTCGTTATTGACAACACTTGTAAAAATTGTATGATTGATTGAGTACACAAGACTAAATAATGGAGCATTATTCCTGTAACGAATATGTTGACATGCATCTAATTTACGGACAAGTACTCGGTAATTGTGTTAAGGCAAGAAGAATTTATTCTGATACATTTACAAATCAACGTTTACCACACCGAACAATTTCTGGAAGGGTTGATAGTAACTTACGAGAAAGAGGTAAAAAGTCAAGTGAAAGAAACTAATGCTAAAAGTAGCTAATCTTTTGCTAATACATTTTTAAGAAGTTTTTCCCGGATCGTGGTAGAGAAGGGTCTCCAAAAAGAGCAAGGAACCTTCAATTAGAGGAGAAAATTCTGGACGAGATTGTTGAAAATCCCTCCAATAGTGTAAGAAAGCTGTCGGTCCAAGTTCATGCGACAAAGTTCATGAAACCCTTCCAGAACAACTGCTACATCCTTATAACGTCCAAAAGGTACATGCCGTGTATCCCGCTGATTATCCTTCAAGAGTCAATTACGCAAATTGGTTTTGCAACGATGTAGGCAAAATACAAATTTTATTAGTATTGTTTTGTTCACGGACAAAGCCAGTTTCAATCGAGACGGAGTAATGAATTGCCATAATTTGCATATCTGAAGAAAATCCCCATGCAATAGTACATACAAAGCACTAACAAAGGCTCTTGGTCAACATATGGGCGGGGATTATTGGGAATCATCTTATTGGATCGTTCTCTTTTGAAGACATTAAATAGTGCCATGTATTCGCAATTCTTGCAACAAAGCTTAAATGATTTATTAGAAAATGTGCCCATAGAAATTAGAAATCAGACGTAGTTTATGCATGACGTGCATCGCCCCATTTTAGCAATTTAGTTCAGTCAGCACTTATCAAATACTTTTGGTTATCAATAGATAGGTCGAGGTGAGCCTATTTTATGGCCACCGAAGTCCCCGACATGACTCCATTGGATTTCTTTTTATGGGGTAATTTAAAGAGGCTTGTGTATTCGACGCCAGCTCATACCAGGAAAAACCTGATCCCCGTTGCAACGAAATTCGAGACAATTTTGGAATGTTGTTTCCAGTACAACGAGAAAACATCTGTCGGATAAGGAAATGTAAAAAAGGCGACCCTTTTGAAAAGCTGCTGAAGTAAACAAGAGGAAACAAAGCTTTCGAATTTTTAATAGCCTTGCATTTAAGTGATTTGGAAATTGTAAAATATAATTTACGCTATTTGAAAAAGTTCAATAAGCAAAAATAATGGCTTCAAAAAAAGTTTTGACTTTTTTTTTTTTTAATTTGTCTCCCAACGGGAGAAACCCAATTACAGGATGAATATTGCAGCTACAATAAATACACATTAACACAAGAAACATAAATAATTTAAAAAGTATAAATAAAAATTACAAACCTTAATCAGAAACAATGGTCAGTCAATCAATAAAAAAATAGCATAACGGTAAAGTCACATGGGAATTAATATATCTAAAATCATTACCAACAACAGAAACAACAACATAAGTAGGTAATGCAAAAAACTAACAAGAAATTAAAAATCCGATAACTCAATTGTGAGAATAGAAAATTCTTTTAATATGTGCTAAAGAAGTATTGAAAATGTCCAGGCTATTCTCCATATTATGATAATTAAAAAGCATTTGATGTAAAGGAGACCACCGCAACATGTTAGTGCGCGAAGAAGGAAGATTAAACAAACTATTTGATCTGGCATTTATTCTAGGAACACGGTAATTTATTTGTGTTGTAAGCTCAATGCAATCAATATCGTTGACAATTTTGTACAAGAACATTATCGAGTACATAACCCTCCTCTTAATTAAACTATGCATTTCAAACCTATCCAATAACAACTCCTGAGGATATCCCAGAGGTGGATAGACTCCATCTAAGATAAAACTGGCCGATTTAAGAAACCTCCTCTGCACTTTTTCTAATGATGTTATGTAACTATTATAATAGGGAGACCAAACCACAGAGGCATACTCCAACTTGGGTCTAACAAAGCACGTATATAAGGTACGTAATGTAGACATATTCTTAAAGTCCTTACTATTTCGGAGAATAAAACCCAAATTTTTGTAAGCACCTGTGACAGATTCAGCAATATGTGCAGAGAAGGTTAATTTTGGGTCAAAGATGACCCCTAAGTCCTTAATATGCTCAGGTCTAACCAGTACCTGATCACGTAGGCTGTAATTAAATAGAGTAGAATTAGTTTTACGGGAGAAAGACATTACATTGCACTTCGAAGCGTTTAAGGGGAGCCGATTATTATCACACCAAATGGTAAGCAAATTCAAGCTGTGCTGAAGCCTATTACAATCAGATACAGAGTTGACATTAGTATAAATTTTCAAATCGTCAGCATACATTAAAAAATTTACCTTAAAGTTTCGCGCTATATCATTGATAAAAATAATAAAAAATAGTGGTCCTAGTACTGACCCTTGAGGAACGCCTGATGTTTGACTAAATATGTCTGATTTGTAACCACGATATTGCACAAACTGAATACGATGTGATAAATAAGATTTAAACATAAGTAAAAGAGAATTATTGATACCAAAATTGTGTAATTTACGAAGTAATATACCATGATCTAATTTGTCGAAGGCTTTAGTGAAATCAGTATATATAACGTCCACCTGACCTCTCATATCCAAAGTCTCGGCAATAAATTGAGTAGCACACACAAGATTGGACAAATGTGTTCGCGAATAATTATTTCAAATAATTTAGAAAAGTTGCATAAAACAGCAATAGGTCTGTAGTTTTCAACATCCTCCTTGTTACCCTTTTTATAAACCGGACACACACGAGACTGTTTCCATAAATCAGGGAAGGTGTTAGATTTAAGGATTTGATTAAAGATCGTGCATAACGGTTTGGAAAATAAGCAAGCACAATCCTTGATAATAAAGGCCGGCAAGTTGTCTGGACCCATTGTCATATTTGCTTTCAGTTTCTTTATAGAATTTGAGCAATTAGAACATTTAAATGGTTCACAATTAGTTCAACAACTTTGTAGATAATTAAAGAAACAATTTGTAGTATGAAAGAAAGCTGCCACAATTTATTTTTCCATATGGAGAGGGGTACGTTTTTGTCCGGTCTCTCTCAATTGTCCCGGGATCAAAGAAATGCAAATGGAGGATATTCAGAGACGAGAAAATCCTCAGCTGACACGCAGAGATGTCCGAATTAATACGATTCGGGGGCAACATCTAGAATAAAATAATCCAGTGAGCAATTGTGTAAAAAGTCGGCGTGGAACAATGATTAATTGATAAAGTTGGATCATTTTACCGGCTAAACGTGACGTCGGGAAAATAATAAATGAGTTGTACAGATATGCAGGCTGCGCCCAGTGATATGCTAGGAAAAATACGAAAAAACCCGCACGGTTTTTATGGTTTGCTTAGTTTCGCTTTATTAACTAATGCTAGATAACATGGTTTAATGGTGTCGTGTATAATTTTTCTTCTCTGTAACAGAAAATCCGCGCTACAAGGTGAATCGCTTTTAACGCGAAATGTATTTTTCCTGTCAGTAAGATCATTTTCACCGAGAGAAACTGAATCATTATCATTGATAAATAAAATAACGCTTGAATACTCTATTAAACTATTAAACGTCAACTGCTCCACTTACCCGTTATAAATAATGGTTTCCTCCTGTGCCTTCGTATCGGTAACTTGCATGTGCGTCACCAGGAGTCCGTAGATAGGCGCCGAGACCTTGTCTAGGAAGATTTCCATCTGGAGAGGCGTCCCTGGCGACACGTTCAGTTCACCTGTCACCAATTTCCCGTCCTGTCGCACGCCTACCCCGAGGATTGGTTCCGGGGCCCTTCCGGTAGTCGAGTTAGTGATCATGATTTCTATCTCTCTGAAAAATAGATAGTCTGCGTGAGGTTTATCATACGTGAATATGAAATATACACAGAGAATACGATATCCTGTTCTTATAATATACATTTTAAGTCACCGCTGTATTCTATTCATCTGTGGCAGATATCTGCTACCGTGGGATTCAAATCAAACCTAGAACTATTCATTCTAATACTTCAATCGCACTTTAGACACCTCGATTATCACAGCTCCTATTACTGAGTTACATTTATATAGATTACACAGCCCCAGGGGCCAAAAATGGCCTCTATATAATAAACTTTTCAAGCACAGTCAGAGTTCCAGAATTTAAAAGTACATAAAAAATACCACTGTTGCGATTGCGACGTCCGAAACACGATTTTCAGGCCCCTAAGGGGTCATTTTCCCGGTCCCAAACGGGGAATTTCAGTTGGCCATAAACTTTTCGACCACAAATCCAGCTTTGGCTTTAGAATGCACCTTCGACCTTGCCTCATCCCGGAATCCATCTTTCAGTCCCTATAGAGGCCATTTTTGGCCCCTGGGGCCAATTCCAGACATGGAGGGCCATTTCTGAGCTCGAAATCGGATTCAGCGTCGAAAAATACATGGGAATACATATGTCCGACCCACAAGTCCGAACACTTTTTTTTTGTGGGGCTGTGTTGCGATTGCGACGTCCGAAACACGATTTTCCGGCCCCTAAGGGGTCATTTTCCCGGTCCCAAACGGGAGATTCCAGTTGGCCATAAACTTTTCAAGCACAGTCAGAGTTCCAGAATTTAAAAGTACATAAAAATACCACTGTTGCGATTGCGACGTCCGAAACACGATTTTCCGGCCCCTAAGGGGTCATTTTCCCGGTCCCAAACGGGGAATTTCAGTTGGCCATAAACTTTTCGACCACAAATCCGGGTTTGGCTTTAAAATGCACCTTCGACCTCACCATATTCCGGAATCCATCTTTCAGGCCCTATATAGGCCATTTTTGGCCCCTGGGGCCAATTCCAGACGTGGAGGGCCATTTCTGAGCTCGGGATCGGATTCAGCGTCGAAAAATACATGGGAATATATATGTCCGACCCACAAGTCCGAACACTTTTTTGTTTTTGTGGGGCTGTGTTATTGCTGGCAGAATTGATAGATTGTTATTACGCTACAACAAAGTTTTCAATATGGGTTAAATTTATATAAAATTGCAATATAAACCATATTACTGAAACCAGAATAATAATATACATCCATTATAAGTAAACAAACAACAACTGACTGATGATCTAAAGCCACTGGTTTCAGAGATACGGGGTGTTGAGGTCTAAAAACGCCACATTTATTCAAATAACCTTTGAATTCATTTAATATAGATTGATGAAAGTTAGGCCATCGATATAATTAATTAAATTTAAAAAATCATTGAATTGACACATAACATAAATCTGTAAGGTACATCCGCTAAGCGTTCAAAAATTTTTACGCCACTGAGTACATTTATGTATTGGATGTTGCTATTTTTAAGAAAAACATTTTTGATTTACTATTGCCGCAAGATACGTATCGAACAAATTGATCGATGCGATGCTTCAGATCAGAGGCAGACATATACATGTTATTTATTGTACCATGACGCGGATAGTGACGTTATGTCACCATTAATAAAAATAGCATCTATTAAAAACTATTTTAGACATACGCCTGTGTCCTCGGTAAATGTTGAACGGTCTTTTTCGATTTTCAAATGGGTACACTTAGGGGCAACTGTTAATTATTTTCTACAATCGTTGTTCTTACGAGTAAGAAATTATTATTTTGTTAACTTTTGCTGGTACCTATTATTACCTATATAGGGTGTTTGTAAATAAGTGCGAAATATTTTAGGGGTGGTTGAAGAAGTTATTTTGTGAATAAAAGTTCATATAAACGTAGGTCGAAATATGCTTCGTTTCCGAGATACAGGGTGTTTAAATTTTAATTTTTTATTTTGTTTATTAATTATTTCTAAGAGTTTTAAAGACATTTAATGCAGTGTCTAATGCAGTGTGTGTGTGTTTAGGGCAATCTGTTTAATGCGATGAAATAAGGAAAATTATTTTTAACACTGTTTTCATTGTATTTGTACCTTCATTTAATGCAGTGTGTCTGTGTTTAGGGCAATGTGTTTAATGCAGTGAAATAAAGGAAATAATATTTAACTCTGTTTTCATTATATTTGTACCTTCATTTAATGCAGTGTGTCTGTGTTTAGGGCAATGTGTTTAATGCAGTGAAATAGCAAATAATATTTAACTCTGTTTTCATTGTATTTGTACCTTCATTTAATGCAGTGTGTCTGTGTTTAGGGCAATGTGTTTAATGCAGTGAAATAGCAAATAATATTTAACTCTGTTTTCATTGTATTTGTACCTTCATTTAATGCAGTGTGTCTGTGTTTAGGGCAATGTGTTTAATGCAGTGAAATAGCAAATAATATTTAACACTGTTTTCATTGTATTTGTACCTTCATTTAATGCAGTGTGTCTGTGTTTAGGGCAATGTGTTTAATGCAGTGAAATAAAGGAAATAATATTTAACTCTGTTTTCATTATATTTGTACCTTCATTTAATGCAGTGTGTCTGTGTTTAGGGCAATGTGTTTAATGCAGTGAAATAGCAAATAATATTTAACTCTGTTTTCGTTGTATTTGTACCTTCATTTAATGCAGTGTGTCTGTGTTTAGGGCAATGTGTTTAATGCAGTGGAATAGCAAATAATATTTAACTCTGTTTTCGTTGTATTTGTACTTTCATTGAATGCAGTGTCTAATGCAGTGCGTCTGTGTTTAGGGCAGTGTGTTTAATGCAATATGTCTTAAGGCAGTGTGAATAAGTTAATCCTCTCATTTTGGCCTCAAAAATATATTATTGAACACGAATTATTGAGACACTATGTATATGAAACAATTATCAAAATATTTCCAAATAGTAATACACCACAATAATTATGGTTCGCGTTTAATGTTTCGCTTCACTTCGTTACGTTTCCAAAATACTTCTGCCCTCTCATCCATCTCAAGGGTCACCAGACTAGGGTTAGTGTATATTAATTATTGGAACTATAGGTGCGTAATTCAAGCTCTGTTAATAATGCTGATGAATTTCGACAGGTTGATTACAAATTGCCAGACGAATGGATCCGAGGGGATAGAAACTCTAACATTCACTAATTACTGCAGATGATGTACACAACAACTTTGAGCCCTACTTCCGTTCGTTAGCGCAGGCAAAGCAAATTAAAATGTTATGGGTTCGTCGAAAGTTTTCGGTGTTGACGTTCGTAAAAGCGCAAAAAAGCCGCGCTCATTCCAAACTCTTATAAAATGCCATGTGCGTGTCGCTTCATTTTTAACTGAATCCTAGTTTATTCAATGATTCAGGAGAAAGTGCTTAGTAAGAAACATGTTGAAAATGGACTCCCTTTTAAAAATCAGTCCACTTTGCTCTATAAATTTTTGTCACGGATACGTTTCGATATACAAGACCTAAAAATTTAAAAAAAAAGTGGATATCGTTTGCTGTACCTTACTAAAACAACTACTCTGCGGAGTAAAGCTCCGTCAAACATTGACACCTGCAGTGTCTAGCAGACATGTTAGCTCATACCTATTAATTAATAATTATCTAAATAATAAAAATAATTGTCACATTTTTGTGCTATTTCAAAATTTCACTTTTTTCTACAGTTTAATATCCATAAATATGCAGATATTAATTCCAATCGTTAAAAGGCATGTTCTTTATAAGCTGTAGACAATACAGGGTGTTAAAAAAGAGTGTAAAATATTTCAGGAGGTAATAGTATGAACCAAAATAAGCAGAAAAGTCTTAATAAACATGGGTCCGCAAAGTAACGGTTGCGGAGATATGGACCACTATTCGTTTTTCAAACATTTTATTTTATTAGGAATAAACCGACAAAGGAAGCTTTTAACAAACAAAAAACAAAGTTACNAAATTAGCCAACCTTTCTGGTGTTCCAAATCCAAGCCTGTTTACCTCAACAAGACTTCGAAAACAGATAGCAACTGTTCTGCAAGTCATGAACGTTAGCGAAACTGAGATGGAGCAGTTTGCTAATTTTATGGGCCACACAAAAAAAACCCATGAAGAATACTATAGGTAGGTACCAATCTGGGATTTAGAAATACTTCTGAAATATGATACTGATAAAATAACAGCAAACATAACTAATCCATCTCGCAGACTTTTTAAATCATTACTAGGTACATAAGTATGTGTCCTTTATTGTATTTTTCTTTAAATACTATCCCTCATGTACTATTTATTTTTTATTATTTATTTATTTACCTTTACATAACACAATAACTGGAAAAAATTATTAAGCCAATTATAAGATGACAAAAAAGACAAATTAAAAAATATATCCATATTTTACCTTCGAGCTAGTACAACAATGTAAAGCTTCATTGAAGAAAAATCTAAATTGATCATATTTTACGAGAGATGATACGTTAGAAAAAACATTCTGGCGACACCCCGTAATAAATATTAAATTAACAATGGGAAGTCTACATATATCTGTTATTAAACAACTTACTTGATCAAAAGTTTTTCAATTATCTGAGCTAGCGGAAATATTATGTGTAAAATAAATCATTTAGGTATATATTATTTAATAGTAAAAGCACACACAGTACAATCAACCATTTAAGCATTATTATAATTTAGGTTACCTCAGGATCTCTTTCAAACAGCCAAGGTATCAAAAATACTTATTGCTATTAATAAAGGCAAAGGTGCCAAATATAAAGGAAAATCGCTCGATGAGATTAATCTTAGTGACATAGAGTCAGATGATTCAGACAATGAATTTGAAGAGAATCCTAATATTGAACATGAGGTAATGCCACTTAAAGTTAAACATGGTTTAAACAATGACTTACCAAGCTGTAGCACAAAACCAAATCCGGTAAAGAAAAAAAAGCCATATAAAAAAATAGAGAGTGAAGAAGACTCAGATTCTTGCAGCTCTAGTGAAGGTATTAAACATTTTTTTAAAGTTTAGATTTCTTAGTTGATATTTTTTTTATACAACATTTGTCCACTTTTGATTACCAAATATGAAACTTTTATTTTTGAATTTGCAAGAATTTGTTCATGACACAAAATTTTCCTTATTGTAAAAGTAAGACTGGCATTGAAAAACATTGAAAAAATAATATACAGTGTCCCATTAGCCCTAACCTATAATGATTATTTGTAATTAGATTTATCCTGAGACCCAAAATGAAATAATATTCCAATAATACAATAATATAAAGCTTTGCTCTAATAGGCCAACCTGCATATTGTTTTTTCAATGTTCTTTCAATGTCGGTCTTTTACAAAAAGCAAAACTTTTTATCAAGAATAACTTTCCAATTGGTAGCCAAATCTAGGCAGACGCTGTATATTTTATAACAAAAATGTGTCACCAATAAACCTATTCTGTTAAACTATTTCATGAATAAAAAAATCAAAGTGTTTTTGGCAAACAAGCCAAAATTCAACTCACGATGTGGCGTGAAAGTACATTATTTAATTTTATTTTAGATTCAATCAATCAATCAATCAATCTTTATTCATCCAGTTGATCATACAATGATATAGGATATGTCAAAAAAAAATTTTACAAACATTTCTTTAAAAGAAAATACAATAAAACTACACACAAAAAAAAAATATGTACAAAACAACACACTAAAACTCCAAATACTCCCTAACCGAATAGAAGCTGTTTTCTAAAAGATAATTCTTTACAGCACACATATATCTACTAAAACTTGTTAGTGATTTTATCCTAGTTTCTAATTTATTATAAAGAACAGCACCAATATAATATGGATCAGCTCTATACAATTCCAAACGATGGGCATCATATTGCAAATCAAGACCGTATCGCGTAAAATAGGTGTAATCGGCATGATGTAGATCTGTTAAACTAAATTAACAATTGATTTCGTCTTGAGTTTAATAAATCGTTTTGGTATGAAATGACGTAAAGAACAACCTCTTGAAATTATGATAAAGACTTAGGAAACATCCTGTTATGCTTTTTTGTCTTTGTAATTGAAGTAATTATATTTTAAAAAATAACTCCACCCTCCACTTCTAATCAAATATTCCTATTTTTTCAAACTTACCTTGTAGTTTCAGTGCTATTTTCAAGATCTCGTGTAATTAATTATTTTATTAATCATTTTCATATTTTCAATAAGAATTTGATTTGTTTGGTAATAGTCCAAGCATTATAGCGAAATGCTTACAGAAATTATTACCTGGACAAAAAAAATATGACCGTATAGAAAATTAAATTTTAAATTGAGTTTCTTGTTCTTTAAATTCGATCCAATATGGCGAACATGGTTAAAAAAAATCACAAAGTTGAAAAAAACGGTTTTTCTCAAATAACTAAAAAAATATAGCACGGATTGAAAAATTTTAAATGCGAAAGTTGTAGGTTTTAAAAAGATCTATCGACGGATTTTTTGAAAGTATCGATTGCTTTGTTACTTTTCGAGATATATCGAAAAAACCGTTAAAAATCTTCTCTAGCATTATAAAGTTATCCTGGTTCCTTGTTTTCCGTCGGTACAAGGAAAACCTGCTGGCTTTAGTATAATTTTCCCACAGGGTATGCAAATGTCAGGAGCATATTCCCCGCGTAATGTGCAAGATATGTACAACATTTTCTAAAAGTATCATACCCGGAGGTGGAGGGGGGGCGAGCATGCAGTCGGCTGCAAAGCCATCTTCACATTACGGCGTATTATTAGAACATCAAAGGAGGTAACGCAACCTTTGCCCTAATGAACTAAACGATGTTAACAGGGAGCAGGCAGAGAGCTGTTCTACAATGGAGCTATTAAAGCGATAGCATCAGGACCACGGTTTACGTGGAATAATTGCCTAAGTGTGCATGGGAAGAATCTCTTGGAAATCTGTTGATTAATAATTGAGAGAACGCTAAAAGTTTACGCCCGTCAAATTCTCGTTGAGATCTGGCAGCTGGTGTAACGCGGATAGGAACTCGGTAGCGATTCTGTACTTTAATTCAAACTTGTTGTTGAGATTTCTAACGTTCAGCGTCATCGAGTATGACGTCACAGTTATTAAGGCATTACCACATCACTACATATTATAAAACAAAGTCCTCCGCCGCGTCTGTCTGTCTGTCTGTTCGTGATAAACTCAAAAACTACTGCATCGATTTTCATGCTGTTTTCACCAATGGATAGAGTGGTTCTCGAGGAAGGTTTTAGTATATAATTTGTTAAGTTTTTGTATACATTAACGATATTTGTTGGAGGTGTCGGAAAAAAATAAGCCGTCTGGGAGCTTTCAACGAAAACGCTGCCTAAACCCTTTGAGATATAACAAAATAATGTATGGTGGAATTGTGTATCTTATATAGGTCTACAGAAAAGTCCGCGATGGCATATGTCTATCTCTTAAGGATAACATACTATATCCATTTTAATACTTAAATAAATTGGCAATTATAAAGCGGTAATTGGAAAGTTATTTACACAAATACGGTATTAATCCTTAGCATTTTAAATACGTTAGTTGGCTTGAGCATTTCATGAAGATTATTTTTTCCCTTTACACCATGCAAATTAAATGAATACCTTAGGAGATATAGCAAAATCAAAATAATGCGCAACGAAATTAATTTCGTGTCGCCGTGATTCGACAGGACCGGTGACCCCGCGCCTCGCGTCCGAGCCGAAGGGGGGGTCCGAAAGTTTATGTAGTGTATCAATGTATGGTGGAATTGTGTATCTTATATATGCCTACAGAAAAGTCCGCGATGGCATATGTCTATATGTTAAAGATAACATACTACCTATATCCATTTTAATACTTTAAAAAATTGACAATTATAAAGCGGTAATGTAAAAGCTATTTACACAAATACGGTATTAATCATTATCATTTTAAATAAGTTAGAGGCTTTAAGCATTTCATGCACATTATTTTACTCTTTTACACCATATAATTTAAATGAATAAGGAGTAATCCTAAAAAAATTACGGACGCGAGAATAAAATTCAAGCGCCTCGTTTCGCTTGATGCGATCGCCGACCCTCCCCCCGCACCGTCTTGCCTACTGTTTAGCTAATAAACCGAACGATAACGCGCGCGTGATCCTTTAATAAACTGACTTGGAGCGAATGAAGGTGACGACTGACGACTGTGTTTTCTTTCTGGGTGTTGTTGGAAAGTTATAATTGCGTTCGATATTTTAAGGTCACATTTTTGTTTTGTATTTGTTGTCTTTAGGTAGTCGGAACATACATAGATACTTGCAAACATACTTTTATTTCATTTGAGTTTTAATAATTTGTTTGTTTTTTTCTTATTGTGAATCATTTAAAACTTCATAGTCGCATTTTTGTTTCGTATTTGTTTTCTTTAGGTAGTTAGATACCTAACTACTTACTTATTAATTAAAATTGATAGTCCTGAACATAGATACTTCAATTTAATTCGTTTTGTTTTCACATTGTTGGTAGTTACCTATATTGTTTTAAATTTAAAGGTTTTGCATTTTTAGTTTTGAGTTCGTTTGTTGTCTTTAGGTATATAGATATTATATTGTGAATTATTTTAAAATTAATTTAGGGTCGCATTAGATGAAAGATGATTGATTTTTGTTACGATTTAACTCAAAAACTACTCAACCAATTTTACCGAAAGCTACATCTCCTCGAAGTAACATAGGCTATTTTATATTTGCCCGTGCGAAGCCGGGGCGGGTTGCTAGTCATAATATAAATCAGCACGATGATAGAACGATGATTGTGAATATTTTTTTTTTGTATTCGTCCTCAATTTACTTTCATAGAACTTGACCGTGTTTGTTTTGCATCTAAACAGAGTGTATTTTTCAATAGGGGTCATATTTATACAAACCTTTGACCTTTAGAAACAAATGTAACAAACCCGTTTATCATCCTGTCATATCTACCAGGTGTGAAGACAATTTGCACTTGCTGCCTCTCAAAGGCGATATGGCATTTCAGAAGCACAGCTGTGACTAACCTCCGTTCTCTTCGGAAGCTTTCGAAACATGATGGGATTCTGCTTAAAACCTATTTATAAAAAAGTGTATGTCCTTATTGGCTTTTAGTATATTGTTGCATTATCACCTATAATATGGCTGAGACCTTCACATCTTATGCGGCATTGTTTAATGATGCCATAATCAGAAGTTAGGTTTTAATGGCAGATAACACAAGTCAGTGAGCGCATTGTTAACGTAATTTAATAATTTCCGCAACAGTTATTGTCTTTCCGAAGTCAGTTGAACATGTATTCAAATGACATGAGTGTCAAACAACAAAATAAGTTTTCATTTTTTTTTTCGTTATTAATTCCTCGTTCTCTTTCTAAAGGTGTAACAATTTTTTTAAATGTAAGTGACGCAACCTATTGAATTTAATTAGATTGTAACATTAAAAATTTGCTGTCTTCTAGACATATACGATGATCGACTTGGTTATAAAATATAAAAAAAAAATATTTTTAAATTCCTACATTGTCACAGAGGAATAGCCCCCATCATAATTAGAATTTGAACTAACTTATTGATTTAATTAGTTTGTCTATTAGCAGATACGTCTATACACTGCCCAAAGACCTAAATTATGTCCTTGAAGATATACCTACTACTTATACTGCCAGATTTAATGTTAATGGAAAATTAATCACATAAATACATAGCTAAAACCACCTACCACATACAACCTAAAATGTACATAGTAAAAACATTACAGGTAAATAATTGACGAAGTGTTTCAGAAATCGTCCTTCACAGTTCATAAAACGTCGTTCAATATCGTACGAGGTAGGCAACTGTTCTTCTAAAATTTTCAGTGGATACTTAAAAATTTGGATGTACAGAAAGAAAGAAAGTTATTTCCTTTTTCTCTTTAATAATAAAGGCTTGTTCCAGATGTTAGCAGTCTGTTATAAAATTATATAAGGGTACTAAATTCAAATCATGATTTCAAATATTTTCATGCCCTCAAATAATGCGTTTCTCTATAAACTATAATAATTATTAATGTATCATATATGTATACAGGGTGTCTCATAATTAGCTGCCAACCCTGAACAGGCCGATTCTATTATCAAAACTAAGTAAAAAAGTTCATATGAACATGGGTCCGGAAATGCTTCCTAAGGGCACAGGGACCCATTGAAGAGGGAGGAATGGAAATCATTTTTTTGCAATATCTCTCAATCGCGTTGTGATAAATGAATGAAATTTGGTATACACAGCTAAATTTTGATGAGCAATTTGATGGACTAATCCATTTATTTCCACAAGGTCCATTGGGGTGGGTACGGGGGGGCCCTTGGTACTTTGCGTGTGTAACTTTTTCATCTTTGACTTTTTAACAAATTGGACAGCAAATTCCGTTTTCCCGAACTGTTTTACGTTAAAAAGGTACTCTTGTTTCAAATCGTTATCTTTAACGGTTTCTGAGAAAATCGCTCTTGAATTAATCCCACTTTGGTCAATTTCATAGTAATTTAAACAAAAAATAATAATAATAATTTTATTTTCCTCTCTTTTCCATTTAAAGAATTAATTTTTATTTAATTTAATTTTTTATTATTATTTTTTTATTAAAATTAGATTAAATTTAAACAAAAAAATTTTTTTGTTTAAATTACTATGAAATTGACCAAAGTGGGATTAATTCAAGAGCGATTTTCTCAGAAACCGTTAAAGATAACGATTTGAAACAAGAGTACCTTTTTAACGTAAAACAGTTCGGGAAAACGGAATTTGCTGTCCAATTTGTTAAAAAGTCAAAGATGAAAAAGTTACACACGCAAAGTACCAAGGGCCCCCCCGTACCCACCCCAATGGACCTTGTGGAAATAAATGGATTAGTCCATCAAATTGCTCATCAAAATTTAGCTGTGTATACCAAATTTCATTCATTTATCACAACGCGATTGAGAGATATTGCAAAAAAATGATTTCCATTCCTCCCTCTTCAATGGGTCCCTGTGCCCTTAGGAAGCATTTCCGGACGTATGTTAATATGAACTTTTTTACTTAGTTTTGATCATAGAATCGGCCTGTTCAGGGTTGGCAGCTAATTATGAGACACCCTGTATAGACATCGGAAAATTTGTGGCGATAATCAAATAAATAAACAATAGTAATCTGTATTATGCTAGTAAGCGACAATTCGCGTTGCAGTAGCAGAAATAGGCTAAATCTATGGTCGAGCCGTGTGCCGCTCTATGCTGACAATACACAATGCTACTAACTGTTATAAAAACACGTGCCATACGACAATGAAATGCACGGCCAACGTCCCAAAGCAAAAGACCTGGATTGTTCGTCGTAGTAGATACGTATCGAATAAATTGATCGATGCGAGGCTTCATTTGAGAGGTAGATAGGTACAAATGCGAAAATATACATCTAATATTACTAAGAATCCTAATGATTTTTTTATTAAAGAGATATCAGCGCACATTGCGCTTTTAATGATGGGACACTGGCTGTTCAGATTAATATTTCAGTTAAGAAAGATAACTTGGGAGTTTAGCTTTCCAAATTGAAAAAAATCTAAGTTAGTATGTCAATAAACATAAAAAGAATTATCCTTTTTTCTGGAGAAATATGGTCAAAAAAGCCAAAAAATGGATGGCCTGTTTTAATTGCCCTAACTTTTTTAGACTTTATAATGCAATAACTCAGTCAGTACGTCAAAAAACATAAAAGACGCTAGTTTTAGACAGAAAATGGTCTAAAAACCAAAAAAAAATGGTCAAAAATATCTGTTACTTATTCTCCTACCACGTTTGGACTTTAAAAATATGAAATTCGGATTCAGCATGTCCAAAATCGTAAAACGTACTATTAGATTGGGGTATTTTCCATGGATAGATGATTTTAAGCTAGTTACTAAACTATTTTTTTTTTAATTTCTAATTATAGTCGCCATTTTGTGGCCGCCATTTTAAATTTTGAAATTTTTCCAAAAATGGCCATCGTTTATTCGAAAACTCTTGAATATACGAACACTTTGAGACCTTAAACGTACTTTTTTCGTAATATTTTTGGAGGAAACAGTGTCCCGGTTGATATGGAACGTCCCCTATATATTTTATGGTAAGTTTCATGTGAAGCATTTAGTGTAGAAAAATAGACACAGCTCCTTTTTCTTTCATACTATTATGCAAATACTTACATTCTTGTAATGTAAAAAGTGCAGTTATAATAAGGCACCGGTTGTGTCACATTTTGTTTGAACAAAATTACATAAAAGAGAGCCCGGCAACCCTGTATCACATTGGAGCCGCCCTAAAATTTCCGGTATCTAATCACATAGAACTGTGTAGATGAGGCTTCATAAAATTTATACATAAATTGTAAATTTATGGTCGCAAACCCATATATTATAACTACTACGGTGGTGTATTGTTAAACAATAAATTTGGATAATATACGACCTCCCAGTCAATCAAGATCATTAATTATTTCGCACAACACAAAGATAGTAAATAATATTAGAACTGTTTGGGTGTAATAGATTTCCAGTGAGCGAATAGATTTATTTATCAAAATTTATCTGCTAGTTCGACAACTACCACTGTATAGATAATATCACACACAGAGTTTGTTAAATTAAATAATATTTGCACAATTTGGAAACAAATCGTAGTATATCGATTTTTTTCCGTGTAGAATTATTAATATTAATTTGTCGTACTTTTTAATTTCACCTTCTACTACAAAGCAAGGATCTGTATGTAGTATCCTATCATAATTTTTTGGGTTAAATTCATCTGAAGTATTTATCACAACAAAACAACTGTCCTGTATAATTTCTAGAGAGTATTAAATGTTTACAACAATTTGGTATTTTAGAAGTGACCATTTCTTTCAAGATTCTTAGCAGGTTTGGTAACGGAAATGAAACAATTGACACACTAAACGCGTTCAAATGAAGTTATATCTGTAACCTTTATCACAGAAAAATTAGTTTCAAGAACTAATCCCTGTGTGTAGGATTTTATTGTTGACTACAATTTATAGAAGGAATATAGTTGTCATGCTGGATAGTATTTAAGTAAATCATCCTTACATAAACTTCTCTATAAATAACGCACAATGTAACCGACACCAAAACACGTCTTACCTATAATTTCAAGCAACTACTGCCTTACGACAAAAGCTAATGGTTCAAATTATTTAAATACAGTATTCTGCAATATTATTACAGTAACAGGTGGATAATTGTTGTCGATATTAACGTTAAATGGTCACAATCACGCTATGCCACGCCAAATACCAGTTACCATTTTTGTAAACAAACTAAGGATCGCCTCTAGTTTGGAGTCCGACGCTTCTAATTGTAAGGTAGAGATATTCTCTCAAACAACAGCTACTTACTCTGGTTCGCGAAATCCAGCCGGCAAAACATTTCTCTTACTAATTGTGTGATTCTTTACGGACAGCATGGAACATTTGACGTGCAGGGTCTCACGAACCTCGTGTTTCGTTGGGCTTCCTTCGGTTTCCTCTAAGTGGTCTATTACCAGCGTTTGGTAGAATATTTGCTTGCCCTGGAACAACATGCCCTTTTAGTGGACCTTACGTCAGCGCAAATGATGTATTATGATTTATGCCACTGTAGTGTAAGAAAAGAAAAATATGTGTTCTATCTGCAGAGTGGCTGATTTTGCTTTAAATCGAAACGAATGACAAAAACTACATTTATAATCAGACATTTTTGCAAGAATTACCTATGATAGATTAGTTGGTATATTGGCAAACAAGAAGAACAAAAATTTGATACAAAAAATAATTCAATTGAAATTAAATGTGTAAATACCTGACGTGAAAATATACCTTCACAAATACAGGGTGTTATGTGTAAATGATAGTAAAAACAAAAAGTACTCCCAAAATATAAGAAAAAAGTTGACTGGAGCTTATATCCAAAACTCTTCGTTTCCGAGATACAGTGTTATAGTTCTCGTCAAAAATATATTTTTGTTTACTTACATCTTCCAAGATAATTCAATCAAGGAGATTCAGGCGTATCGTAATCTTTTCTTGGGCAATACTTCTACTACATCGCCCAAATTTTCGCAAAAATGATACCATTTTCGAAGAGAGTGGGGTAAATTAATAAAAAGGCATTTTCAGTGGCGTAAAGTACAGGGTGTAGCTTTTTCTATAAAACTTTTATTAGAAAAATTTTTCTATATCATTTCCCGTTTAAAAGTTATAAGCAATATCGTCCTAAAGAGTCTCAAAAGAAATACCACCTAAAAATCACATTAGCGGTGGAAGGATCAAGTAGTCGTTGGAAAATAATTGAATGTTCCTTGTTTAAACTGCATAAATATCACAAAATACTTGTCATTACTCAATACAAACGTCAAACGTATAACTTTTGTGCTTACAAAATGTTTTCTCATTCAGAATAAATTGATATGTTCCTAATTTACGGCGAGTCACTAAAAAATTCAAGAAGACTTGCAGAGTTATATCGAGAAAAGTATCGAGAGCGCCTCATTCCTGAACCTTTACAAGTAGACCAGGCAATCAAGAACGATTTACCCCAAAATATCTAGGTTTTCGCGGCCCGGTCCGATTTTAATTCGGTTTTTTGCATTTTATTCAGAAAGACCGTCGGAAAAGGTCCCGCCTTTATATTATCCGGAAGTGGCGGAAATGCATCGCGGGTGCATAAAGTGCATCTAGAAGTGCATCGCATCCGAGAAACTTGCCAAAGTGCACGAAATATCGCAAAAATTGGTACTCGGGGGTTTTGGGGGGCGCAGAATTCGATTATGCATATATCCAGTTCACCCGACCCCCCGGAGGCGACTTCCGGCCGCCTGGGGGGCCCGGGGGTCACTTGGATTGCAAGGTTCTCCGAATGACTGGAAAAATGGATCTCGGAGGTTTTCGCGAGTGCTGATTCCGAATTCGAGGGTGAAAAATATCCCCTGTGCTCGTGGAGGGGGCGGTGGGGGAAGATAATTTTGATTGGTATTTATAGTTGTTTATTATAGTTGTTTGATAAATGAGCCCGTGTAACAATTAATACAGAAGGAATGTGCATTGAATATATTTTAAGACAATATATATTTTAAAACAATAAATATACTTTTATACTTTAGAACAATAAATATATTTAAAAAAATTATCAGGCTTACCCTTTCTTTTTCCAACCGAACTTTTTAGATTGAATTTCGTCCCATGATTTTCCATTAATTTATATTCATCCCTCTTAGAAGATTAACGCCCTTTCCCAAAATAATCAGAAATAGTCATCGGACGCATTTGGCAGGGTCAGGGCACCGGCAAAAACCCCCGAGACCCATTTTTCCAGTCATTTCGGGAACTTTAGATTTCATACCCCACCGCCCCCTCCACGAGCACAGGGCATATTTTTCACCCTCAGATTCGGAATCACCCGCGAAAACCCCCGAGAAACATTTTCCCAGTCATTTCGAGAACTTTAGATGTCATCTTTCGGATGCGATGCACTTCTAGATGTACTTTATGCACCCGTGATACATTTCCGCCACTTCCGGGTAATAAAAAAGGCGGGACTTTTTTCCGACGGTCTTTCTGAACAAAATGCAAAAAACCGCATTAAAATCGGACCGGGCCGCGAAAATCTAGATATTTTTCTCTTTATTGCCTGTAGACCAGTGCTTAAGCCTTCAAAAATGGTAAAAAGTGAAAAAAAATTATAGTAGGATGAAACACACTGGAAAAGGAAGAGAATATAACAGAAATGAAAAGAAAAATAATTTACGGACGATCTGAAGTCGGGAAGGGGAAGGGGGTGAGTTTTTAAGGGTAAAAACGGTTTATCTTGATTTCCGGAAAAACTACAAGTCTTATGGAAAAAAGTTAAATGGCAAAGTTGTAGGTAATAAAAAGATCTACAACTTTTGTATTTACACTTTTTTCACATAACCTCAAAATTTATGTGAAAAATTCAAATAATCAAGTTTTTGGTTTTTTATTTCTTTTACAAAAAAAATTTTTTTTTCACGAAATTTGGTGAAAACTTACCTATTTATGTCCCAAACACGCTGTAATTTTTTTATTTGAAATATTTATTTTTTCACCTTATTTTTACTTAATATCGAAAAAGCACTAATTTTAAATCGAAAATTCTCACTTTCTTAATGACAGTTATGCATTTTAAACAACCAACATTCAGTTATTTTCCAACGACTACTTGGTCTATCCACCGGTAATGTGATTTTTAGATGGTATTTCTTTTGAGACTCTTTAGGGCGATATTGCTTATAACTTTTAAACGGTAAGAATACAAAAATATTTCTCTAATAAAAGTTTATTTGAAAAATGAAAACTTTTTAACAGGAAAAAAAATTATTTAGTCTGTATTAATAAATCTACAATCTTTTCTTTGGTTGGGTGGAAAGATCCATCTTACAGAGTTCAAAATTAAATTTAGTAAAAAAAATATAAAACCTTCACAATAAATCTGCAATCTTTTCTTTGGTGGAACTCTCCTTCTGTAGAGAGAGAACCTATTTTTTTTCTGTGAGAAAGCTTTGTTTAAGATTGGAAGTTATTTCTCGTATTTATGAATTCAATTTTTTTAATTTTAACGACAAATTTAAACATTTCGGGCACTAAAAAAAAATTGCAGTGCTTTGAAACTATCAGGATTTCTTTGGGACACTTTGAGGTTGAAAAGTTACAGTCAATTTCCTTAGTTTATCCATTATTTGCAAAGTTATGCCAAATTATTCAAATATTCCTAATTATACTTTTTTTTACCTTTTTTCCAATCAATATGTTCATTTTAAATTTTTATCAAAAACCACAAATTTCGACTTGTAGAGAATACTTCGTAGTTTTCAAAACCCTACTTGGATCATCGTACAGAGCTCCGGAACCGCTCAAATTGAAGGGAATTAAATTATCAAAAAGAGCTTTATGTTGAATTTACCAAAAAAAATATTTGTATTGAAGCCCATAGCCCATGTTTAAATACAAGCAAAAACGTGGAAAAAAAATTTCCTTCTTATCATTATTCAAAAACCGCTGACGCTAAAAAATATTAACTTCCAGATCCGAAAACTAGAAACTTGAAGCTTCAATTTCCTTTTTTTTATTCTCTCTACGACCATTTCCCTCCAAGTTACAGCTCTGTGAAAATCACCCAAAAATTTGGGATTTTTTAATATCCCTAAATTTTTGCAACTAGTATAATAATAGAATGCGTTTTTTTAAGTAATCTCTTCATCATACCGTTTGCTTGTTGACCACCCTGGTGACGCCACATCTATAGACATCCGTCAGATCGAGCTCCAGCACAGCCAACTTTCCCGTGGGATCGGTGTGCGGCCTGCAAGCAGGGTCGGGGTAGTCCCTGAGGCCCGCGATGTACACCCCCTTGGTGGTGGGCGAGATGGGCACTTCCACGCGCATCTCCGTCGGCGTGCATTTCACCTTCGGCGCCACTGGAAAAATAGAAATTGCCGTTAGAATGTCAGGAAGAGACGTAATAATCGATAAGTGTATACAGGCTGGTTTATATCAAGTGTATACACGGCTTGAGGCGTCAGTTTCAAAATAATGCTTTAATATACTCGAACATGCTTTCATAGTACCTACAGATTAGCAGGTTGCTCTCTGACAGTAGGTACAAAGCAATAGATTGTAGTCGCAATAATATTTAAAATATGACATATACTTTATAGGTTATATCACACATACACTCAAACCATGTCGGTAGATAGACATTTAAATAACTAAATCGTTCCTAAGTCGTCTAATCTATAGCGTTCTGATGAAAACTATGTTGTTCGAAACCAGTTTTATGGTTTTCCTGACGAATGATCTTAGCTGCTTACAAGATATTGAGTGCTGATCATTAGTTACAAAGAATATAAATTATTCGCTGTTATTCCGCTTGGTAATACATTCACCGACTTTGGAGCAACTTGATTTTGAGAAATATAAGTTGGTTTTTAGTAGAAAGGGGGAGGGTCAATTAGGCCGGTTTTCAGCCCCCTTCATTTTTGGTAAAAAAAAAAATTATTTGACTATTTATATCCGACCCCAAACGGGACCCCCCTACTTCCTAGTCAGGATGAAGGTCAATTAGAGGTCAGATTGAGAAAAAGTGCGTTAAATCAAAGGATCTCGGAATATAGGTTTATTAGGTCGCTGAGCCCGAATCGGAGATTAGTTTGTCTGTATCAGGCCATTTTAAGGTTGTTTCAAGGTCAATTCAAGGTCAAATTGAGAAAAAGCCGAGCAATCAAGTCCGACTACATGTTATATAGGATTTTTGGATCGCCGAGTTCAAATCCGAGGTCAGTTTGTCTGTATCAGGTTATTTGAGGGTCGTCTCAAGATCATGTTGAGAAAATCCAAGCAATTAAGTCTAACCGCCTGTTATATACGTATTTGGAGTTGCCGAGTTCAAACCTGAGGTCAGTTTGTTTGTGTCAGGTCATTTGAAGGCAATTTTAAGGTCATTTGAAGGTTAATTTATGGATTAAACCCTGGAATCAATTACCGTTATTATATGTATAGTCGCTGACTCCGAATTCGAGGTCCATTTATATGTATTAATAAAGGTTCAAGGTTATTTCAAGGTTGATTTGAGAAAAAGGACTTCTGGTAGGGTCAGTGAGAGACGACTTCAGACCCGTCTGTTTTCGACCGAAGCTAAAATTATTATTATACAAGCCAGTATGGATTACTAAGGGTAAGAGGCTATATGGGTCGAAATAGATTAGAATAAGGTTTTTACGGCGCAACATAGATTAGTAAAACGTAATATGGATTTTTACAGAGTAATATGGATTGGGATAACCAAGGGGTGAGATGGGTATGGGGCAATATAGGCTAGTATGAGGTAATAAGGGTTTTTATATTGGTGATGGAGTAGAATAAGCCGGGTATGGGTTATGATGGTTAGGCATAAGGGTATATTGGTTCATACGGAGTAATATGCATGTATATTGAAATGTGCGTGTTTATGGTAAAATGGTTATGGGGTAGAATGGGTTAGTATGAGATAGTACAGCATTTTATGAAGGAATATGGGTGGATTCGAGGTAATACGGGTTGGTATAAGAAAATGTGAGTTTTTGTGAAGTACGGTCAGTTCAGTCTTTAGTTTCCAACAAGATTCGGTAAAATGCCAGAAAACGTCTTATTTCTCAAATCAACCAAATGACCTTGATACATATAAACGGACCTTGGATTCAAACTCACAGACTTCAAAAACGGTAATCGATTTCTCGGTTTTTTCTTGGTTTGACCTTTAAATGACCTTGAAATAACCCTCAAATGATCCGATGCAGAGAAACTAACCACTGATTCTAACTCAGCGACCTCAAAAAATCCTGTATAACAGGTGGTTGGACTTGATTGCTCGGCTTTTTCACAATTTGACATTGAAATGACCTTGAAATAACCTTAAAATGACCTGATACAGACAAACTAATCTCCGATTCGGATTCAGTGACCCAAAAAATCTAAACTCCGAGATTTTTTGATATTTTTCATTCCTCGCTCATTACTTTTAAAAGATTTTTAAAGGGAACTATTATTGTAAATTAACATTTTCTATTATAATAATCTTTTCTGTACTTTTATATTCAATTAGCTTTAAATAATTTGTGGACATTGTTTTAGGCTATAAAGCCTGTGTTTGTCCCTTCTCCTTAAATAAATAAATAAATAATGCACTTTTTCTCAATCTGACCTCTAATTGACCTTAATCCTGACTAGGAAGGGGGGAGAAGGTCCCGTTTGGGGTGGAATCGAACAGTTATTGGATATAAATAGTAAACAAAAAATATTTTTTTTTTTGCCAAAAATGAAGGGGAGCAAAAACCGGCCTAATTGACCCACCCCCTTTGAGATGCAAATGTCAATTAGTAAAGAAGCTTATTGATACAGGTACCTCTACTCTACTTTTAAATATCAGTAATTTAATACATATTCTAGAATAACAAGGAACAAAAAGAAGAAATTCGAGATGTTCTGCTCAAAGAACCGCATTTAGATTGCTTATTGCTTATGTCTTTCTTGAAAATATAACTAGGAAAACCATCACGTCATTTCCATTCCTTATTGCTTTCGAAATCAGCAGGAATTATTTATGTTTTTTTTCGGATGTATGACAGCGGTATAACATGATGAAAGATAAAGCATGAAGATCTAGCAAAACAATGTGGCTGTTATTTAGCCTGTACCTCAAATTATCTGCCTGATGTCTTATTTACAGAAATCATTTTTGGCGAGAGATACCGTAGCAAAAGTAAAAACTGGTATTAGGAAGCAAGTGGGCAAAACCAGTTATTAAGTTCGGAGAAACCCGAAACGTATATGGATGGGGCTACGCGAATTAGCAGCAATTTGTGTATAAAAGGCACTGCATGATATTATACGACGGGCAGAGTTCGTGGAGGTCCACGAAAAATTAAGATTAAATGTAGAAGAAATAATAAGTTCATTAAATAAAATAATGTTACAGGAAATGAGATTGAAACAGATACTTCGATTTTGTCAATAAGCAAATTTTATTTGTGAAACACATAAAAGTATTTACCGTTTTAGAATAAACACAGTTTAAAGATTTTCGTGGATTTAGCATTTTTTCCATTAACGTGGTTCCAATAAAAGTTAAAATAGCAAGTTCAGCTTAAAAAAATGGAGTTGCTGAGATAGCTTAATTTATTTTTCTGATGGAGTTATTATACATATATTTTATATTTCATATTCCGCGGAAAGCCTGTATTGTTGATCTCCATATTCTATGAATTTTAAAACGCATTTTCCTTGGAGGAAATACAGTAATCAGTAAAAGTATTCAATTTTTATTTGTGGATGTAGGCAACAAATATAAACACTATTATACCGATCATTTGTTCAACATTTCCTTCACTTTATTATACATCAACATGAATACATTAAATGCACGAAGTTAAAAATTTCGTTTAGGTTATAATTAACGGATTTTTCATTAGTAAGCTGGCAAAAAAGTTGTTAAATTTCGAGATATCCTATATAAATCATTGTAAAAGGTTAATTCTTATATCACGTTATTCGTTACTTTGGTAATGTCGGACCACCTAGGTGGGCAACTTTGCTACATCATTTTCACGGTTTGTTATTAAAGTACTTAATTTACGAGTATGAATTTACATTTACTTGTATAGTGGCAGCAGTGTCCTTTAGGCATTTTAATGTAGTGAGCAAGGTCTCTTGAGATATTGTGCTACTATTAACAATTCCATTCCAAGACACTGGAAGAAAAAAGTTTTCAGATTATTTGTTTAATATGTGATATTTGTTCAAAAAATAAATCAAATGAGCTATGAACATAATTAGATGGATTTATGAAATGAATGCAATACAATATCTAAAGTTAAAGTTAAAAAAAATGTCTAACATCAAGAACCAACCAATAAACCTCGAACTTATGTTATTCTTCGAAAATAGTCCACACTTAGGTCACCAGCAACAACACGTGATCACGTGTTAGCTACAATAATAGAAAGTATTCTGTTCAGTCAATATGTATTAATACCTGTGAAAATACCAAGCGCAATTGGTAGATACTTTGATTTGCCCAATCCACAGAAGTATACACGCTCAACTACATTACCAGTTGCAAATATAGATGTTTTAAGGCTGATAAGTAGGCTTAGTGCACATGCAGAGTCTAACAGAGTCGGCGCGAGGTCGGTGGCCTTCACAGCTGACTCGGGTTTTGAACTGTTTAGTTATTTACGGAACCTTGTAGTAGTTGGTGTCGCGTGGATACCTTTCTTTTTTACGTCTGCTGTAAATTGTATTCGCAGTGTGTATTTAAATAATTATTCATAAATAGTAAAATAATTTACATTAACAACCATTAATTGGAGGGAAAAGCGCAGTAAAATGCCAAAAGAGAAAAGAAATAGACGGGAATTGTTTCAAATGTGGTTTGACTGTGATCAAGGTTACAGGGATATACGTATTAAAGGGAATGACCTGTTTTGTACTGTGTGTGAACGCATTATAAATTATTGTTACAAAACTAAAGTTACAAGACATTTGAAGAGCGATGCCTCGTCTAGCGCTGAAGACTCTAATTTTCTATGAACTTACAGATGCCTTTCTTTCAAGCAGTATTCCATTAAACAAACTAGAGAACCTCAAGTTCCGTAATTCCGTAAATTGGAATCAAATGAACAATTTGATATAATAATGTACAAAAAAATGTATACGATGCCAAAGGGTGTTGGAAAAAAATCCAGAATTCACCATTTTGGAAAAGATATGTAAAGTTTTATCTGGTACAAATCAGGATTTACCAGCAAATATACATTTTATTCATGCCTCAACAATTCTTATACTGTCCCTTGTCAACAGTAGACGTTGAACGGTCATTTTCCCTACACAAGTTAATATTGCGTGATAAACGTCACCGTTTCACTAAAGAAACCTTAGAGAAGCACGTAGTAATAT